AATAAAATAAAATAAAAAAAGCAATTGTCATGTTTTTTTTTTATCTCTTTGACAAAAAAAAAAAATAACTAAAATAAATAAAATATAGTAATATTTTGTCATGTTTTTAGATCTTTTTGACATAAAAATCACAGAAATATAAACAAACAAACAAACACAAAATAAATAAATAAAATATAAAATGATAAAAATTGTCACGTTTTTGACATCTCTCAGTATGATGGCTACATGTCACATCTGAAGATCTTTTAGAGAGTTTAACAAAGTATGTTTTCTTTCGAGCAAACATACCCCCTGTCTCTTTACATTCCTTCTAGCCTTTGGCTTTCAGAGGCTTAACCGACTGAAAAATATATATTCAGCTGGGGCACAGCACCATTAGGACAGTAATTTCAGTCAGCAGACAAAAGCTTTTTACAGATATACTACAAGTGAAGAGTAGAAAGTGTCTACATCAGGCAGTCCACATCTGTAGCTGTCATTACTGTTAGTGGTATTGGCAGAACAAGAACAGCAGTAAACAATAACAGCACTCCTGTGTGCATCATGGATGAGTCTGCCCATATGCTCACAAACACAAGCTAATCTGTGGGGTATGGGTCGTGTGTGTGATATGAATATAGCCTTGGCTGGGGAAAAGACTGTCTCTTTTAAACAGAACCAGTGAGTTCATTTATGTAATGTGGCAGTACAGCGTCAGCACCTGGTCAGTAGGTGGGGCTAGTACACTGTTTGGGCCGATTATTGACCAAGCTGACGGTCAACCACTTACAGTAACAATCACCACTTCATAAATATTACAAATAGCTGTAATAATCAACTGATAATGTGTCAAGCCAAAATGGTGCTATTAATGAGACAATAGTGATTGGATTGTGAAAAGACGGAATTAAATACCAGACTGGAGCAAGATCTGAATATGAGCTTGCTAAAACGATACCTAAAAAAGGCTAATCCAGCTGGTTAACATTTCCCAATAGCCCATTCGGCCTAAGCAACATCAATGCACAATGTAATGTGTATATAGTACAATGTACTATGTAAACATAATAATAATAATAATAATAATACATTTTATTTATAATGCGCTTTTCTCAACCCAAAGCGCTACAACAATGTCACATATAAATACAACTTAATCATAATAGACAATTTTAAAAAGGTGGGTTTTCAACAGTTTCTTAAAAGTACTTAGTGTAGGAGCACTTCGAATGTTTAAAGGAAGCGCATTCCATAATCTCGGAGCGGCACGAGAGAAAGCTCTCTGTCCCATAGTTTTTAATCTGGAGTGGGGCTGATAAAGAAGAAGAGAATCAGCAGAACGAAGAGGACGAGAAGGCATGTAAGGGGTAACTAAATCACAAACATAAGAAGGAGCCAATTCATGCGCAGCTTTATAGGTTAAAACAAGCGTTTTAAACTCAATACGCGATTGAACTGGAAGCCAGTGCAAATTACAGAGGACACCACTGATGTGCTGCCGTGAGGCTGTGTGAGTGAGAACACGCGCTGCTGAGTTCTGAATATATTGTAGCCGTTTGATAGATTTTGCTGATAAGCCAATGTAGAGAGAATTGCAGTAATCAATTCTTGAAGTGATAAAAGCATGGATGAGCCTTTCAATGTAAGGTGTAGAAAGGAAAGGCCTAATCCTAGCAATAAAAGAGGGGAAGTCGTGGCCTAATGGTTAGAGAGTCGGACTCATAACCCGAACCCTGAGGGACACCATGTTGGACCTGACCAATATCTGATTTGTTATTTCCCAGAGCAACAAACTGTGATCTATTTGTAAGGTAGGATCTAAACCATTCAAGCACAGTGCCAGAGATACCAAGCCAACTCTTTAATCTATCAAGTAATATAGAGTGACATACTGTGTCAAATGCTGCACTCAGGTCTAACAAAACCAAAATGGTAGAGGCACCAGAGTCAGCTGAGACCAGGAGGTCGTTCATAACGCGAACCAAGGCGGTCTCAGTACTGTGCCCCGTCCTAAACCCAGATTGGAAAGGCTCTAAAAGGTTGTTTAAGGACAAATGAGAATGTAATTGTGCCAAAACAACACGTTCCAGGACTTTAGCCAGGAAAGGAAGATTTGAAATGGGCCTATAATTTGTTAGATCAGAGGTATCACATCCAGGCTTTTTAGGGACTGGTGTGATAGCTGCAACCTTAAGTTCACATGGAACAATCCCAGTAATAAGAGAAATGTTAACAATATTTAATACGAGGGGACTGATTGTCGACAGACACCCCTTTAGAACAGTAGTTGGAACAGGGTCAAGAATACAAGTGGTTGAATTCATTGTCAACACTAATTTTGAGATGTCATCAGTGGTAATTGTTGCAAAACTAGAGAACAGAACCATAGGAATACTTGGTGGAAGAACCTCCGGAAGCACAGAACTAGGGAGAGAACCAATAGACCTATAAATAGATTCAATTTTATCCTTAAAAAATTTAAGAAATGTATTACACTGCTGAACAGAAGAACATGTGGGTGTCTTGTTTCGTTTTAAAATTTTGTTAATAGTCTTAAAAATCTTGTTTACTGATGTATATTTGGGTATCGTCAGCATAAAAGTGATACCCAAGACCGTGTTTTCTAATGATTTGCCCCAGAGGAAGCATATAAATGCTAAATAATATGGGCCCCAAAACCGAACCCTGAGGGACACCATGTTGGACCTGACCAATATCTGATTTGTTATTTCCCAGAGCAACAAACTGTGATCTATTTGTAAGGTAGGATCTAAACCATTCAAGCACAGTGCCAGAGATACCAAGCCAACTCTTTAATCTATCAAGTAATATAGAGTGACATACTGTGTCAAATGCTGCACTCAGGTCTAACAAAACCAAAATGGTAGAGGCACCAGAGTCAGCTGAGACCAGGAGGTCGTTCATAACGCGAACCAAGGCAGTCTCAGTACAGTGCCCCGTCCTAAACCCAGATTGGAGAGGCTCTAAAAGGTTGTTTAAGGACAAATGAGAATGTAATTGTGCCAAAACAACACGTTCCAGGACTTTAGCCAGGAAAGGAAGATTTGAAATGGGCCTATAATTTGTTAGATCAGAGGTATCACATCCAGGCTTTTTAGGGACTGGTGTGATAGCTGCAACCTTAAGTTCACACGGAACAATCCCAGTAATAAGAGAAATGTTAACAATATTTAATATGAGGGGACTGATTGTCGACAGACACCCCTTTAGAACAGTAGTTGGAACAGGGTCAAGAATACAAGTGGTTGAATTCATTGTCAACACTAATTTTGAGATGTCATCAGTGGTAATTGTTGCAAAACTAGAGAACAGAACCATAGGAATACTTGGTGGAAGAACCTCCGGAAGCACAGAACTAGGGAGAGAACCAATAGACCTATAAATAGATTCAATTTTATCCTTAAAAAATTTAAGAAATTTATTACACTGCTGAACAGAAGAACATGTGGGTGTCTTGTTTGGTTTTAAAATTTTGTTAATAGTCTTAAAAATCTTGTTTGGATTTCCAGCATCATCACTTATAATACGTGAATAATATTCAGCTCTAGCCACCTTAAGGGCCTCACTGTACTGAATTAAATGTTCATCATACATAAGCTTGTGAACTGTTAAGCTTGATTTTTTGTATTGCCGCTCAAGTTGCCTGTTTTTAACCTTGAGTGCCCTAAGCTCATTTGTATACCAAGGAGATGATTTCGTGAATAAGACATCACGTTCCTTCATAGGAGCAAGGATATCTAAGGTAGATGATAGGATGGAATTATAATTATCAATAGTATAACTTGTTGGATGCTCAGAAATCCACACGGTAAAGTCCAAATTCGCAGGGAAGCCAGTGTCAGACACAGTGATACAAAACAATGTGTAAAATAGTAAAATTTAAAACAATTTAAAACAAACAACCAAACAAACATAAACCGGACGAAGAAGCGGCAGCCACAATGCGCCAGCGTTCTCTTCGCCGGAAGTCATAATGTAGGTTTAGAATTGAAGGCATGTGCTACAAAACACAAAAGAACAAAAAACTAAACAAAACAAAACAAAAAATACAACAAATTTAAAACAAAACAAAGCAGAAACACAAAATAAAACAAAACGAAAAAGTACAATAAAACAAAAAAAACGAAGCAAAGCAAAACAAAAACATGAAATAAATCAAAACGAAAAAAGCAATATAAAAAAAACAAAGCAAATCAAAACAAAAACATGAAATAAAACAAAAGAAATAAAAAACAATCAGCAAAAAAAAAATGTAATAAATACATACATAAATAAATAAAAACAAGCTGCAAAAATGGCAGTAACAGGTTTGTATATTTAGACAAAACTAGGACTAGCAAGGTTGGGAACAAAAATAGTTTGTAGTTATTCATAACTATTAAAAATAAATATTTGAGTTATTATATCAAATGATGTTGTAATATTGTAATTATAGGGTAAAATCAAGAAGGTCAATACCTCTGATGTGGGACAGGTCGGGGGAATACAGATATTTGCTCTGTTCAAAACTAGCTACTTTCAATGATACTTGTATGGTAGACAACGGTTTATCTAACATATCCAATACTTGTAACAACAAAAAACACAGGATATGCCTCTAATGCTAAAGAAAAATAATAGCACATTGAATTCAAGGAATGTGTCAAAGCAACGAAATGAAACAAAACAAAAAACAACAAAAACAAGCTAAAATAAAACAAAAAGTAAAACGAAACAAAACAAACAACAAATACAAAGCAAAGCAACAACAAAAAAACCAAAAGACAAACAACAATAAAGACAAAAGGTCAAAGCATAGGCCTATCTTCTAACTAACTAAATTACAGCAGTTTTTATGCAAGGAACCTTGACTAATGTTATCAAAGGAAATTTTTGGATCTTTTGTTATCACTATTTTATTTTTTTTTTTTAATTTTGATACATTTTTGATACAAAGATAATCCACCAACCATGTCCAAATGTGGACTTTTTTTTTTTTTTTTTTTGCAAAGACTCACCCATGAAGTTTAGGTAGCCCTCTCCTCCCAGGCCGTGGGTAAGCAGTCGGATCATCTTGTGGAGCTGGATGCCCCGATCAATAACGGAGTTCATGGGAATCAAAGCGCTCATGTTGGTGTACATATCCTTGTCCATCAGCCAGAAGGCCAGTGTTTTGTCTCCCACCAGGGCCTGACAGAATAGCAGATCAACAACATGCGCACACAATTCACATTAGGTGAAATGTTTGCTGGTTGATGAATAGCTTTTGATTGGTTGCACTTGTTAATGGGGAAAAACAGGGGAACAGCTACCGTTTGTCCGGTTCTACACAAAAATAGGACACTAAAAAACAAGAATGAATACTGTCCTAATTTTAATGATACAAAACTGCATGTTACCACTGAAGGTGAAATTGTAGAGTAAATTGATTGGCCCATAAACCAAAGTATGAACAATAGTAATAGTGATGTTTGCCTTAACAAACAGCATCCAATAATAATTTGACCTTTTTGTCACACTTTTATGGATTGATATTATGAGAAACAGGACAGAAATGAAGTATAGTAAAGTTAGACGAAGTAGATGTTAATCACTAAGGTAAATGTTGCAAACTGTATTTGAATAAAAAATGCTCAATTTGCAATAAATAAATAAATAAAATAAAAAATAAAAAATAAAAAATAAAAAATAGATAGATAGATAGATAGATAGATAGATGATAGATAGATAGATAGATAGATAGATAGATAGATAGATAGGATAGATTTCCTGAATATATACTTAAAAATGTTAAATCATAATAAAAAAATATATATAATCGAACCTCCTACATAAGCACCACAACTTAGTATGTTGCAACCACTAAGCCAAGGTCCCGACGTCCATTGATATTTTAACACATCCTATGCAGTTTCACATAGGATCTGCCATTCTGATGGGAACTTTATTGCAATGCTAAACAGTTTGGTTTATTGATGAATTGTCAAAGTAAAGTTTTACTAGTTTTAGCACGTTTCAACTTAGACTCACTTAAGTGTCTCATATTGAGTAGAACAAATCATTATTCCCAGACCTTGGAAACACTACACAGAGGAAAAAACAAAGAGAAGAAAGGAAGAGAGGAAAAAAAACAACAACAATCTGCTCTAGCCGTGGTGTTAGAATGTGTACAAACAGGATGGATGTGTTAATTTCTCATTTCACCCTCGTCCCTAGAGGACTACAACCTGTTGTGACACCAATTTCCATTCCCAATGACACATTGATTACTTTTCCTTTACTCTACACTGGAGGAATGGAGGTTTCCGGACGGCTGTACCTGGTCGTGGCTTTCGGCATAAGCGATGCATTTCTCGCCGTATCGCCTGTTGGTCATTGTGTACACGATGTTTCCCATGTTCCAGTCTTCATCCTTGAACTCCTTAAGGATCTGAGAACGGAAGAGAAGGAATAAATAAATAAATGGGAAACGAGTAAATGAGCAGAAACAATTCTCTCAGTGCTTCATGAACACGTCTTTCATTCTTTCTTGCTTATTCTTATTGTCTCGTCATTTGATCGCTATTTTGACATAAACATCCACTGGTGTCTGTCTGGCTTGTTGGTCTAGCCGAAAGCCAGATTTAATTTTCTAATTAAATGGGCGCCATTTCTACACAGTATATGAATCCATCATACTGCGGTAATGCACTCTACAGTGGGATTATGAAAGAGATTAGGGCAGTGATGTTAGCTCTTGTTTATTGAACATTTTAATAAATGCAATTCCTGAATATTATTATATATATATATATAATTAAAATATTTTATGATACATTTGCAAAACAAATATTATACATTTTCTTAAACTAATTTCTTCATTATTATTTACATATTTCAATATACAAATTCTTAATAAAGTATTAACTGAAATAAACAATCCATTTGCAAAACATAAATAGTACACATTTTCTTAAAACGCATTTCTTCAATATTATTTACATACTCCAATATATACATTTAATAACATTCTAAACCATTAAAATAAGTACCAATACCAATTCTTTATAAAGTATTAATCTTTCAAACAAATAATAACTTTGCAAAATATATAACTATTACACATTTTCCTAAATGCATTTCTTGAATATTACTTACATAGTCCAATATATACATTTAATAACATTCTAAATAATTAAAATGAGTGATAAATACATTTGCAAAAAAAGTCAATATATTTTTTTCCCACAATTTCCTTAATATTGTTCACATATTTCAATATACTAATTCTTAAAGTATTCAATAATTATAACATTTATAAATACATGTGTGAAAATGTAAATATTATACATTTACGAGTATTACATTATTATTAGAGGTCGACCGATAGTGGATTTTGCCGATACCGATAGCTAGGTTGGACCACACTGGCCGATACAGATTAATTAACCGATAGTTTTAAAATTGATACTGAACAAAAACAATTTTGATAGTGCTTTATTAACAAAAACAGTACTGAACCAATACTAGTAGTAGTAGTAAAAAAAGAAATAAAAATTAGTAATAGTAAATGTTGAAATTAACACTCTAAGAAGGAACAATACTTACACAGCTTTCATTAGTCTTAATGCTACAAATGGGCTCTTATTTTAAAGTGTTACCATTTCATTTCAACTGTCATGCTTAAAGATGCACATCTTTAAACATATACACAAAGGCTATAGCATTAAAATTATATACATATGGATATTGTATGTATACTCTCACACTTTAACTGCTTCTATTCTTGAACACTTGATGATTATCTAATCAAAATAAAAGCGCAGCGCTGAGTCTAGGAGAACTCACCGGTATCACACACACTCCGGACGCGTCGCGTTCAACTCCAGCAGCGGTCTAAAACAGTTTATTTAATCACCAAATGGACACAAGTTTACTTCAAGAATGAACAATTTGGCATGGATGAGTTTGAAGTTCGGTGTTTAAAAAACGGAGCAAACGGAAAGATCTATATTATAGCTCTATAAATGAAGCACACAGACTTTATTCGAGCCACAGAAAGACAAACGTTTTGCTGAAAATGCACAATACACAATTCATTATGTACATTAACGATTCGGGACCAATATAATGTAATTTAAAGGAAAACTATGTGAATGGCGCTCTGTGGCGCGGCAGGATTTTCTGTCGGCTGCATTTAAATCCGCGTCTGAAGTTTCTCGCTCTGTTCAGCGTGCAGTATCACTTGTCTAAACAAATAGCATGTGCTGTCAGTGATTTCAACCACTAGAGGCCGCTCTCGCACTGTGTAATGACAGCAGACCCTTCTCAGCCACTCCAGCAATGGACGCAACCCGGAAAACTATCGGCATGGATTTTTGTCGATAACCGATAGTTCCAGCAATCAACTATCGGTGCCGATTAATCGGCAAAACCGATACATCGGTCGACCTCTAATTATTATATGCATTAAATGCAAAAAAAATAAAAATAATCATTTGCATATATTTCAATGTAAGTTTAATTACCATAAACAGCTGAGGCAAAATAAGTTTAATAACTGAAACTGGTTAAATTGTTATTGATGATCTATTAAACACTTATTGTGGCTGCTTATTTGGATCAATGCATGTAAATGTCATATTAAATGACTATTAAAATTGTGCTTCAAGAACAAATGGTACATCCAAATTAGGTGTAGCACTGGTACAAAACTAACTAGTACTTATTAACTACCTAGTATGACCTTACAAACAGCTGGTGCAACCCTACCCAGAAGAATCGTATCAACTATCTTTATGCATGGAATGTCATGAGGGTGAATAAAATAATGACATGATCTTATAATTACAGTCCATCCCAATAAACATGTCACCATGTGATAATAACATTCAATCAACAGTCCGCTGCTGCTGCACACATACCATCACATGGCGAGGTAACAGGAAAGCTGTATGCTAATGTATAAAACGCTGTGAGGAAGTCATTATTCTGACATCTGTGTCACGTCTCTGGCACAGAACGACTGGAAAGAGTCAGCCGTCCTTAGTTAAGAGTCAACATCCTCCGCTCCAAAACCTGAGACTTTTCTCACCACAGTTCATCATCCAACTCTCACTCAAATGTCTTCCAACTCTACTTTTCATCCTTAGCCCTGTGACGGTAAGCACATCTCAGCCTCTTTCAGTGAGAAGATTTCACTGCAACAGAACAGAGACGTTCAGCTTGTGGGAAGACAGAAAGACTCAGGGACAGTGTGTCCAACACAAATCTGAAAACCTGCCATTAATGCAGCTCAGTTTATTTCCCCAAAACAGGATGTGACTCAAACATCCACTTTCTGGAGTGCAAAAACAAATGTCTACCCTCATACAAAAAAGAATTGTACTTAATTGTATTGAATGCGCAGTTTTAGTGTACTTCATATCTTAAAAGTATTTTTTTAATAAATTGTACTTGCTGATAATTAGTGCTGTCAAACGATTAATCGCATCCAAAATAAAAGTTTTTGTTTACATAATATATGTATGTGTACTGTGTTTATTTATATTATACATTTTGAAAATATGTACATGTATATACAGTACATGTATATATTCATATTTCATATTATATATACATATATTTAATACATGAACATAACATATTTTTCTTAAATATATACATGCATGTGTTTGTATTTATATATACATAATAAATATACACAGTACACACTCTTATATTATGTAAACAAAAACTTTTATTTTGGATGCGATTAATTGCGATTAATCGTTTGACAGCACTAGTGATAATATAATACTAATGATTCAAAAGGAATAATTCACCAAAGAATGAAAGTTTGCTGAACATTTACTGATAAAAACATCACAATAATCCACAAGTAATTAATGTTTTTTTTTTTTTTTTTTTTGCTTAACTTCAAACTGTTCCTAAAATACTAGTCCTCTGTCCATAATATTGCTTTCTCCAGTGAAAAAGGATCTCATCTGAATCAGGAAAGAAATAGGCACAAACCAAGCACCGTTTGCAAGTGAAACAGTTCTAAACAAATACTGTATGTTTTTATGGATTATGGACTGATACAGGTGCATCTCAAATTAGAATGTCGTGGAAAAGTGTTTAAAGTTAAAATGCTTTAATGATGGATTTGTTTCTTACAAACATGCAGGTTTTAATTCACAAGACATTAATTGATGGACTGGAGAGGTGTGGATTACTTGTGGATTATTGTGATGTTTTTATCAGCTGTTTGGACTCTCGTTCTTACGGCACCCATTCACTGCAGAGGATCTATTGGTGAGCAAGTGATGTAATGACAAACGTCTCCACATCGGTTCAATGAAGAAACAATCTCATCTATATCTTGGATGAGTCAAAAAAGCACAGCTTTTAGCTACTTGCATTTAATATTAATTACAATTCTAAAACATTTTTATTTAATTTAAATTGTGTCAACACTTAAACATTACGCTCAGTTGACACTTAAATAAAAAGTCGTTCAAAAGTTTATCAGTAAGATTTAAAAATAAAAATTATTTTATGCTCATCAAAGCTACATTAATTTGATCAAAAATACAGAAAAAAAAACCCAGAAATCTTTATCACTTTTTTTTTAATAAATTTAACACATCCTTTCTGAATAAAATAATTCCTTTCAAAAAAATAAAAATGAAAAATGTACAGACCCCAAACTTTTGAACATAAGTGTACATTGTTAGAAAATATTTCTATTTTGAATAAATCCTGTTCTTTTTAACTTTTTATTCATCAAAGAATCCTGAAAAAAGTATCACAGGTTCCAAATAAAATATTAAGCAGCACAACTGTTTGGAAACATTGATAATAAATCAGTCTATCAGAATGATTTCTGAAGGATCATGTGACACTGAAGACTGGAGTAATGATGCTGAAAATTCAGCTTTGCAATTAAAGAATAAATGACATTTTAAAGTGTATTAAAGTAGAAAATACACTTTTTTCTGTATTTTTGATCAAATAAATACAGCCTTGATGAGTAGAAGAGACTTCACTTTTTCATTATTTGTCATTATTATTTCTGTTATTATTTTTTAACAAATATGTTGAAGCGCACTTCTTTTTTTCACAAGAGAAACAATGTCAAACAATGCAATTTTAAGATAAAAAGCAGCGCCTGACAGAGAAAACTCCCTTTACAGTAAAAACACACAGTTGTCTCTAGTTTTACTGACAAAAACATCTCAAGTTCTACACATCAGCAACTTTCCAGCGGCAAACAAGGAGGGAGGAAAGACTTTTTTTTATTCCTCATATCACTCACACACACACACCCCTCGGGCCCCCTGTGCAGCAGACTGACTGACAGCAGCGAGGGAAGCCCATGAGAGTGACAGGCAGCCATGCGCTGGGTGAGATTGCGACTGACAGGTGACTGACAAGCAGGAAAACCTTTATATTAGCCCACAACCAAAC